GACCTCTGGACCACCCAGCCCCATCCACCGCCGAGCAACCATGACAGCCCTCTCCACCTCTCCAGACAGCCCCAACTTTGCCATCAGCCGCAGTTGGTCCGACTACAACTCCAACAGCCCCATGGCCATGATGCACGCCCCCACGCCCCATCTCAATCCTCAGGCAGCCGACGTATTCTCCCTTGGCTGCGTCATCCTCGAGCTCATCAGCTTCTTGCTGAAGAAACATGGCCGGCCCTTCGCCACATACCGCGCCGCAAAGCACAAGACCCCCGGGCGAGGCGGCGCAGTTCCAGACTCATCCTTCCACAAGAATCTCGGCCAGGTAGAAAGCTGGATGACCCAGCTCGCCAAAGACGCCTCCAAAAAGGATGACCAGGTCTTCCGCGGCATTTCGCCCATGCTCCACGTCGTAGAGCGCATGCTCTCTCTCCATCCTTCAGAACGCCCCGCCGCACACGACGTCCAGGCACGGCTGTACAAGATTCTGACCGAATCATGCGGCATCTCAGAACCACACTGCGTCCATCAATATGGCGGATGGGACTTTGGTATCGGAAGCCTCAAACTCGACTCGCCCAACCTGGCGAGGAATAACAGCTACGACACCATGTCGATTGCCACCAAACGGAGCAGTGGGTCTGGCTCTTCAAGTCTCGATCACAAGCGGATGAGTGGTGGGAGTTTGAGGAGAACAACGAGCATCACTACTACTCGTGAGACGGAACCACGGGACAGGACGAGTAAGATGACGCATGATCTTGGAAGTGGGCTCCGGGCAATCCAAAACTTGAGGATGCGAGATAAGGTGAGGCCGTGGCAGGCTCCTGTCTACACAGGTATGTTCCTCGGCTGATGCAGCTTTAGAGAATAAACACTAACAATGAACAGAAATGAACGCACTGGCTTGTAATTATTGAGCGGGGCTGGGTGCTCTGGTTGTTTGATGAGATTTATGAGTCAAGATGTGATGAGGGCGTTTGGAAAGGGTGATTCGGATAGGGATTGGAAACTGGGGAACTGTTGGATATGAATCGATGCAGGTAAATGGCGTGTAACTATTTTGGAAGGACGGATGGATGGCTGTTCATACCCCCTACTGGTCGAGCATTGACAACTCTAAATGTCTAATAGGTGAAAATAAACTTGCAAAGGATCATCAAAACAAGCAATACCCAGTGGAGTTTTTGCGATGCCAAATCATTCTTGGCCCTCGGGCTTACCCGCTGCGATGCATATTTGTGGTGGAGTGTCAACATCCCAAGATCAGGCACGGCGACGTCATCAAAGCAAGCAAACAAATTAGGAAGCTGGGTCAAGAGGTTCTTTTTTTTCGGTTCCCGGGAAACATCGCCGGCAAAATTCGACTTTGGAGATGAGGGAACCCTGGCTCTGGGTCCCGAAAGTCCCACGACAGGAAAAACCTGGAAGGCTGCCGCCACGAATGCGGATAGCAGAGAAATTTGAAACGCGGCCGCGTACACCAACTCCTCCCAAGGTGCTCGCAAGGTGAGGGGCTGAAGAACTAGGGAAAAAAAAGGTGGGATGGCAAGGAAACCTGACGATGGGGTGCGCGTTATCTCGCCTCCTGATTGGTTAGTGACCCTGTTTGTCGAGCAGCGCCCCCTTCGTTCTCCTTCCCAAGTGGCGTAACACTGCAGCCGCAGCGAAAATCAAGCTATCTGGTGCCTTGGCTGCATCGTGCAGCACCGAAGCTAAGCAGAAACGAAAGCTCCATTGACCTGTTTGCACGGCCCGGGCCTTGGATAGGTGGTGGTTGAGTGGCAGGTAGCTTCCCAAAAGAACGGAGGGGCAGGGATGAGCAAAAAAGGATGGGAAGGGAAAAAAGAGAAGACGATGTCGTGCTATGTATTCCTCATCGTATCTCATCAGATCATGGTTCTTGGCTTCTCATCCTCCTCCTTCTCCTCCCCTCTCTCCTCCGCCTGTTTTCTTCGCGCAGAAGGGAAGACCCCGTTCGTTTTTTTCCCTCTCAGAAATAACTTGATCGTCAAAGGGTACTTTTGATCATCAGCTCGGTCGCTTTCAATTGGCAGGTGCAGCCCCCTTGACAAGAAACGGTCGCCAATCGCTACCTTCCCGTCGCCAAGTCCACACACCCGTTCCCCAGCGAGCTTTGTCGCTCCAGCGACTACTGCTGCCCATATTTTTCCCCCGGTCGAGTTTCGTTTGCTGGATGAAATATTCATTTCTCAATTGCATTCGCCCACGTTAAAAACGCGCTTTGTTTTTACGTTCCCAGCATCAATTGGCCTCAGCTTTTTCTTACGAAGATTCGTGTCGTTTTCCCGTTCTGGCCAATTTGACCGTTGGAGGAGCTCAGGCACGAACAGAAAAAAAAACAAGCATCAAAATGAAGTTTTCTTGGCTTTCCGCGGCGGTTTGGCTGGGCGCAGTCACCACCGTGGAGGCCGTGGAGGCTATCACTGCCGTTGGTAACAAGTTTTTTACCACGAGCGGGAAGCAATTCATTGCTAAAGGACTCGCGTATCAGCTTACAGAAGGTGAGACCACTTTTTTTTTCATTGTGGAACGTTGCTGTTTGGTTCCCTATGGGAGGGGTTCCCCAGGTTTGTGGCTGACGCCCAGAAATTCTTCTTACAGATGACCCGCTCATTGACGCCGAGCAATGCAGTCGTGATGTGCAGTTGATGAAGACCCTGGGTACCAATTCCCTGAGGGTCTACCATGTCGACCCGACGGCGGACCATGACCAGTGCATGAGCTTGTTTGACGAGGCTGGCATCTACCTCATGATCGACCTGGATACGTTTGATACGTACATCCTGCCGGTGAGGAGACCTAACCGGTCTTGAGATTCGGGCACGAGCTGACTGTGACAGAACGATCCGTGGTGGAATCAGACTCAAGTTGACCGGTACGCCGAGGTGATGGACGCCTTTATCAAGTACGACAATGTGCTGGCCTTTTTCGTTGGCAACGAGATCATAGCGAGATCCAACCAATCGCAGGCCGCTCCTTACATCAAGGCTGCCTCGCGCGACATGAAGGCCCACAGAGATCGCAAGGGCTATCGAAAGGTGCCCATTGGGTACTCCGCCGCCGATATTGCTGAGCTGCGGCCCATGTTGCAGGACTACCTCACCTGCGGCGGCAACGCGTCGGAGAACATCGACTTCTTTGCCCTCAACTCGTACAGCTGGTGCGACCCGTCGACATACCAAACCTCGGGCTACAATGGCCTCCAGAGGCAAGCCAAAGACTTTCCGGTTCCGATTCTTTTCTCCGAAACTGGGTGTAATGTCCCCGGACCCCGTCTCTTTGACGACCAAGATGCCATTTTTGGCCCAGAGATGATCAACGACTGGAGTGGCTCCATCGTCTACGAGTGGATTGAAGAGGCCAACCATTACGGCCTCATTTCCTACGGCCCTCCGGTTGAGATGACGGCTACCGGCCATAACATCAAGGGTGGTTTCACCCGCGCCGGCACGCCCACTCCCGTACTCCCCGACTTTACCAATCTCAAGAACAAGTGGGCGACTATCACACCCACCGGCATCGCCAGCTCCGACTACGACCCCAAGCACGTCTCGACCCGAGCATGCCCAACTTCGACCTCCGACGGGTGGCTCGTCAACGGAAACGTCGCCCTGCCCACCGTCGGTGAGACCTTTAGCGGGACTTACTCGACCATCCCAAGCGCAACGGGAAGCCCTTCCCCGTCATCAACGGAGAATCCTGCTTCTCCGAACAAGGAAATCGCCGGCATGAGCGCTGGTCTCGTCGGCGTCATGCTCTTTTTCACCTTTTGGCTTTGAGGCCATCTCTGGGAGCGATTATGTCTGACCTGGCTTGTCATGACATTTTGCATCATTGGCAACGGCGTTGCTTTGCGGTAGGGCGATGATCAATGGGAAACGGAGGGAAAAAGGGGTATGATAGGCAACCACTTGTGGTCTGCAAACCAATATTTTTGATGCATTGGTGTTATTTCATGACGGGCATGACATGAAACGGTTCATGTGGTGTAATTATTAATGTTTGGCGGCGGGAGAGGAAAAGGGGTGGACATGACGGGTAGCAGCAGGCTGTTGTATTTGTGAAGGGTATGTTGATATGAGCATGATAATGAGAATCAATATACGTATGTCGTGCTTGGTGTTTCGACCGTTTGTGGTTGTGTGACAGTTGTTAGTTTGGGGCGGGATGTGCTCAGGAATGATGAAGGATGTGCCAATCTGGTAGACATGGCGTGGGTTAGGCAGGCGCTCACAGTTGGTGCCATGGATGGTAACTATGAGCCGAGTAGATCATCTGTCGATAATTCGATATATGTAGTCCGGTAGCCTGTGCTCTAAGGCTTCTTTTGGTGTTTAAAACGCAGTGGTTCGGCTGAAGACGAATATCCCCGACATATGATTAGTTTCGTTGGTGTCCTCGGCCCGAAGACCATACATGCAGTTGCCTAATGCAAGGCGCTGGGGCGCGTTGGTAGTGGTGGACTTGGTCTTGCTTCTGGTGTCAAAACTACGGGGGATCCAGGTCGTGATACAGTGAAATAGAAACTCGCCGTTGTGTATTATATCACTCTTGTCTCTGGTTCGAGACACCCGAAGTCCAAGAAGATCGGCGCTCTTAGTAAGGTAGGTAGAGATAACCTCGGGGGTTTGTGGCTTCCTTTGAGACTGCTAGTATAGGGGGAAGAGAGCGATGTCAACAAGAGGGAGGATTGGTTACTCGTTGGTGTTGATTCTCGGCTGGCACCGCTCAGACTCTGCAAGATGAGGCCGTACTCAGTCGACCGGTCAGGTGGTACAGACACCCACCATCATACACCATCGCCACAGCAAAATCCTCCCAGCCTTAAGCAAGTCTAGAGCCATCGTGTCAGTGATGTCCCAAGGCGATAGGAATACTCCCCTCATCACACCCTATGGTCAGTTCAAGCGTGGCTTCGTTGCCGTCGTGACCAAGACGGGACGAAAGCCTACGCCATGGGCCCAAAAAAATAGAAGTGGCCCCCCCAGGACTCGAACCTGAGATCTTCTCACTCCTGGAAAGCAAGAAACTATTCTACAAATGTGGTGGTACAAGAGTAGCAAAGAATCGATAGCCAAGAGTAGGAGTGAGACGCGTTAGACCATTACACCAGGGGCCCGGCGCTTTTTGCTGTAATTCATCGCCGGGATTCTGGACCAAGTAGTCCGCCGGCGCGTCCACCCCATCCCATCCCATCCCATCCCATCCCACCCCACCCCGTCCCGTCCCAGTTGCATGTTTTAACCAAAACTTACAACAATGTCAATGTCAAGGGTGCCTGCCGTCCCGCACACACAGTCACAGTCGCGGTCACGGTCACAGTCTGCACTCACTTTCACACCAAATCCCACCAACTCACCAACACAACAAAACCTCACGCAAATGAGAAACCAACAAAATCAAGCCAAAGGATTAGCATGAACCACCACTCCCTCAATCCGCACCCCCTCCTTTGGTCTATTCTTCCTATCCACCTCCAACCCCTCAATCTTTGCCAGGGTCGCCATACTCTCATCCCCAATCACCTTGCCAAACACCGTATTCAACCCATCCAGATGGGGCGCCTTATCAAACAAGATAAAAAACTGGCTGCCGTTTGTCGCCGGGCCTTTATTCGCCATACTGACGATCCCGCGCTCGTTATGGCGTAGTGTGGGTCGTATCTCGTCTTCGAAGGTCGGACCGTATATCGATTTCCCGCCTTTTGGGTTTTCCGGTGATGGGTGGGCTGGTGCGCCCGTCTGGACCATGAAGCCTGGGATTAGACGGTGGAGGGGGGAGTTGTCGTAGTAGGAGGAGGCGCAGAGGGCGAGGAAGTTCTATACGGTGGGATTAGAGTTCGATATGGGCGGGAAGGGAAAGGGGGGAGGGAGACATACTTCGGCTGTTTTGGGGACGGATTCGCAAAAGACTTCGATTTTGAGGGGGCCTGCTGTTGTGTGAAGTGTTACGGACATTTTGGGCGGTTTTTCTTTTCTTTGCGACTGGTGATGGTGGTTAGGGTGGGGGATTGTTGGAGGGAGGTTGAAGTTGAGGTCATTGGATGGAGCGGCTTGGCGTTGGAACCAAGTTCAGCCCTGTGGCGTTTTGGTGGGGTGAGCTATGACCATGCCGGGGAGAACTCCAAAGGGGTTGGGACAGGAAATGGGGTGACTTGGTTTACGTGCGATATCAAGCGTGGCACAAGGACAGTCTGTAAACAGACGACTGATAAGGAACAAGGTAAAATGAGTGTTTTGATGGATTTTGTCAAACTAGGTAATATCTAGACCTAGATTTTCAGCTTACCACAGGAAACACTCCAAGTTGGTTGTCAGTATGAACGCCTATTTCTGTTCGTATCTGCGTCATGGGCCTTGGGAGGGCGGGTTGGGGGTTGCAAGCCGTCGCAGATCGATGGAAACTGAATCGTGGGGTAAAAGTTGGATGGAAGGATACGACGGATTAATAGAAATAATATGGCCCCCAGGTTATAGTTACGATCCTGTCTTGGTTGTCATTGACGCTTTCGTTCATCACCAGGGGCGCAGCCGTGAATGGACATCTGTGTCTGTCGTTGTGAGCTCTAGGCAGCCAAATATGGGACGGAAGGGGGTTGCATCGATGCTGCTGTTCTTTTTGCGGGTGCTGCATATACTACCCAAGTGCCTAGAGTAGCGTACGGACGACGCATCGGATGAACATCTTCCTCTGCCGAACATGCCCCCGATTTAGTTTTGACATCCGGAGGGTCTTCCTGTTACCGAGAGGACGAATTCGGCTTGCGCAGAAGCCGTGACGAAGATCCACAGAATGTGCCAGCAGATGGCAGAGAGATCCGCATCAGTTCCCGAGCGCCTGAAAGGTTCGGCGTACCACTTGACGATATGTAGACGCCAAAAAGTTGATATGACCTCGAACCTGTGACCCTGCATCTCAAGACTTCTCGAAGGATGCGCCCAGTCCTCAGCAATCTCGTTGTCAACGCAAGGTTCTTGGATCACTGCACTTCCCCTTTAGCGGTCGGTGACCCGACGCTAGGGACCGGGGATAGGCGGGGGTTCAGGCGGGGGTGACCCATGGGAGCGCGTAACTGAGCCACCTGTCGCCCAATCGCGGAAAGCTTGCTCAGCAGGGAACAGCAGCGCGGGCCAAGTTCGTCAGCAGTGAGGCTGTCGCTGTTGCGGTAGCGAGTGGTCTGTGCTATGGCCGCCTTCAAGGATCGCCAGGTCAAGACCATACTGTGCATCTCTCTCAAATTCCCTTCCGAACATTTTGTTCGCCCGCGGAGCTGACGGAGCATTGCCACGAGGCGAGCATGTCATGCCGTTGTGTTGAGGTGTTTTGCGTCTTGCTGTCTCTCGTGAGCTGAGTCGGCGGGCGACGGCGCTGGGCTGTCTTTCCGCATTGACCACTGGGGATGGGCATCGACCATCCATCCGGGGACCATCCTGCTAATTCCAGCTGCCGGCATTTCAGGGCACAGCTTGCGGGCGAAACAAAAGAGACGGGCCCACGTCCCGACAGCTGCACCATCTGGCAAACGAAGCAGCGCGGCGGCTCTACAGGAGCTGCGATTTGGCCCCCTCAGCCCTTTGAAAGGTCTGGGTTGCGGTTGCGACTCTCTCCCTTGTCTGCTGTGAGAAATAAGCCCCGGCCTTGGGGCTGCAGGTGCCGTCCGCATTCGCGATCCCCATTCAACGGGCGGCCCGTCTCACCACGCCAATCGCACAAAAACACAGACCGGGCATTGCCCACGTCCACGCAATCCCGCCTCGAACCCTCGAAACCCCGACCCGACGTATTACATACACCTCGCAACGCCATCGCCGACGGGACTGAATGTGCTGGCGAGCTCCAATCCCGATGTGATGTCCCATGCCCGCAGCTTATCGATACAGCGCCCGGCGATAATCACCCCTCACCCCCCAAGTCCAGATCCGCGATCCCGCAACCGCGGGCTCGTCCATCTCCGCAGCGACGCGGCGATCGCCAGTCCTCTGTAAGCAGCAACTTCATGAGCACGCCCCGCCGACAACGCGGACCGCGACCCATCGAATCGTCCAGGCCACTCGGGGCGCCGACGCCGGGATGAACGCAATGAACGCCATGAGCAGTGCCGCCAGCGCAATGAGCGCCGTGGCCAACGCCCCCGCGACTGTCAGGATATCCGGGCCGCCAAATAGTAGTTTTCTGGTCGGATATCCGGGCATTTCCGCAACGCTGGTGAGTGGCAGGTCCTTTTTGATTTGTTGTGCGTTTGTCGGCGCAGGCAGCGCATTTGGGAGCGGTGGAGCGACAGGGAAGAATCGCATCTTTGCTGACACGGCCACAGCCTCGGATCGTTGGCAAGGTCGAAATCCGCCCCAGCGCAGGCTTCTCTGCCCCGGTCAAGGTGTCCATGGTGCGCATATGTTTACAGAGACGAGAGACAATACACCCAGCAGCCGAGAATGTTGCGAAGCGCCATCTCGGCACGCCACGGCGAGAAACGGTCGATTTGGTGGGGAAAGAAGAGCTTCTCTTCCGGTGCATCTCGGGCAAGGAGGCGGAGAGCGTGATCGCAATGGACCTACCGTTCCAAATATTTATTCCGTTTGGCCGCGGTGGAGAGGAGACCAGTCGCCGAATACCGCCTGCAAGTTTGCAGCTGCCGAGTCGAACGGCGGAGACATACTACGAGCTCGTCGTCACAGTCCAACAAGGGCAGAGTGCCCAAAACCGCTACACATTTCCCATCCCGCTCCAACGATACGACACACTCTCTACATTTGGCATGTATAATCGCCCCGAGACGAAAGTTGTCACGGTGGACAACATCGTGACGCTGGGCATCTCGCTCCCAAAATGGAGCTACGGACCCCTCGATCCAATAACAGTCTACATCAAACTTGCCCCGAACCCGGACTGGCTGAACAAGGCTCGAAAAGTGACGATAAAACAGATTACGTTGGCGATTGAGGAGGAAATCACATTTAACCCCGAGGGAGACGAACCAACGAAGAAGGTCAACAAGATTGCAAAGCACGTGCAACAAGTGGGCACGAAGCTGCCGGATGCCGGCTACGTCACGAATCTGGGCTTGGTATTTCCAGCACGAGATTTGAGGGACGCAGAGGGTATCATCAAGAGGGGGAAGCCGGGGTTTCCAAACTACGAGGTGACCAGTTTTACGACGACATCGACTCTTTACAAGATTGAGTTTTTTCTCAGTATAAAGGTACAGCCCTTTCGTGATGAAATTTGGGCTCATGCTGACAAAAACAGGCGCAACTAACATCGGCGAGAGACATCACACTTAGACAACCGATTGTGATTTGTCCGATGGATCAACAAGCGTGTAAAGAGGAAATGGACGCCATTGAACAGGCGGCCAAAGATGCGTCTCTGGTTGACCCGAATAACCCCATGTTGGAGGACCGATCCATCATCTTTGCGAGTGAGCGAGAGGCCATCAAGCATTTAGGTCTTTGCGAAGTCGGGGGGGTGAAGAAGATGCTGATCGAGTGAGGGACCGGCGGTATTGGTTGGTGTTGGATATTTATGGATGGATCACACGTCGGCACATAATGATGCCTTGAGCGAGGCTCGCCGATAAAAGGCTGAGCCCATACTTGCCCATAGTTCGGGCAGCGAGGCTGATGCCTGGCCTCACCGAGTCGCATCAAAAGGCATCATGAGCTGCCCAGTCGGACAAATGGCTTGGTACAGCAATTGCCTGTTCACAGCATCGAAATCCGCGACCCGATGGCCCCCATAAACCCTCGAATACGTTGGAAGCGAACGGGAAAACCGAAAGGCCTTTCCCAGGTTGATACCGTACAAGCGGAGGGGGTTAGCTTCCCGGCTGCAATTGTATGGAAAACACGGCATGGACAACTGGAGTGGATCACTCGCGGCGCATGGAAGCAAGGAGGCAAGGAGGCGGCATCTGCTTTTCTATATGACAGACTTGATGGCACGGCGTCCTTATGTGATGTTTTGTTTATAACGTCGGGTCGGGTATGGGTTTTTAGGTCTCTCGGAAGGAAGGGATCTTGGACATAGCGACCGCTTTGGTTTGGTTGGTTGGAAAGGAAAGGTTATGGAATGATAAATGGGAGAGTGGTGGGATTTGTGTGAGTAGGATAGGTAGTGAGT